GATCACCATTTGTCTTGTCGAGATACTTGTCGGTAATCCACACTTTATTCGTTATGAGCATTAGCAGTTCCTTTTTTAGTTTTAGCAGTTTTAGAATTAGGTCCTTGGATAAAAGTCTTATACTACGGTATCCAGTTTAATGTAATTAACTCTTACATTTGAGTATTCTCAGTACTGGTTCTGAACTACGATAGGGTTTTGATGACCTTTACCTTGATAGTTCCAGAATAATTTATTTACTTCAGTGGCAGATTCATTATTCAAACATTATTAACGTTTCAGGAGGTAAGTATATATTCTTATTATATTTTGAGACAAAAACTTCTTTTGACAAAGAAAACCGTTTTAATTTTCACTTCTGAGATGCCCGGTGGCGTAAAGGTACACCTCTCGTCTACCAATCTGTAGGTTGTGGGTTCGAATCCTACAGCTGACATTTCATTGGCTGGTTCGAATCCTACATCAGCTGACTATTTTTATTAAAATAAAAATAGTTTGGGTACCTAGGTCGACTCAGCCTGGGGATTCACAATCCTGAGGTAATAATAGGCGGTTGAAGCGTAGTGCTAGCCACATTACCTTCCTTGTATACTGAACGGCTCTAGCATGGCCAGCTGTACCTTGCTACTCCCAAGGCGTAAATTATTATAATTTATATTTCTACAAAAACCGCATACAAGACAATGATTCCTCTTAATGGGCACGTTTTTTATGTTCGTTTCGTTTTGCGGATTTTGCTACAGCAAGATATTTGCATCCTAACTTGAAATTATTATTACAGTTGAGGGTTGGAACCTTTGGTGTTACACAGCAAAATAAAAACACTAAATCACCACAATACATCAAAACACTTTTACTTTTACACTGGACGCGCGTTTCGCTAACCATGTTAGCATCATCAGCAGATGATTATATCACATTAAACTCAAACAACAGTTTATAATCATCTGGTGATGATGCTAACATGGTTAGCGAAACGCGCGTCCAGTGTAAAAGTAAAAGTGTTTTGGTGTATTGTGGTGAGATGGTGTTTTTATTTTGTTGAAATTATTAGGTGTGCTATTTTATTAAAATTGGGTAAGGATTTGACATGGATAAGACGTCAGTTGTAATACTACTGTGTACTACTTTTTACACTACTTGTGTAAAAAGCCTATGAAAAAATGCGGGAGTTGCAACCATAATGACAATAAAAAGCAAGTATAAATGGATAAGACGGATTTTGCTGCAGTAACGTAATTTGTAGTGAATTTTATATAGGAATAGGCGACTTTTGCTGCAATTTGGGAGACTATGTTTATGTAGATTTTAGGGTCCACCATTAATGTATATCATTAGGTCATTTTTTTAAAAAAATAGTTAAGCCGGGTTTTGCAACTTGTCGCCTCGTATCATAGTTGAGGTATAACTCAAGAAAGAGGGAGGCAATAGATGTATAAGATCGCGGTGATTAACTTCTCCCCTCCCATACTATTTACAATTTTAAAATTGACTATGATTTACGTTATGATATTTTTTAGAAAAGGTAAAGAAGCAATAACCATCATGCATAACTATCAATTTCAGATGCCTCACCAATACATTATTAACTATTATGAAAACTTTCTTTTGAGATAATTTGAAAGAGTAAATGAAAGGAAATATTTATCAACATGAACTAAAAAATTAAATCATCCAATTTATATCGAAACACTACCGTCCCTAATAATAGAACCGGCTTATTAATTCACGCTTGATTTTCCTCTCTTGATTAGGCAAATCCTCTTAACCATAATCTTAAAGTGCCTGTCAAAACTACAATACAAATGAAGACATTTATCCAAATATAATCTTCGCAATTTTTTTGCCATCAGCCTAAAAATGTGTTGACAACTTCAATTTCAAACCATTCATAAATTATTTAGCAGATTTTCTATGGTATGCTTTCTCTTGTTAGCTTCGTCTTCGATAGACAGAAAACAGTATCTGAGAGAAGATTGGTCGATAAGTCAGCAAATTGCATATTTAAAATCGCCAGATCTATTAGAATAAATACAGTATGGTATTTTCTTTACACTATGGCTTGTTTAAATTTACCGTATACCATTTGTTTCGTTTTCTAGGTGCTTTACAATTATTTAAACAAATTTGTTGTAGATATTGTAGAAAGTACGGTAATTTTATGGTATTCTTATATGATTACAATTTATTTTCATAATTATACCGGGTCCGTTCCAAAAGTGGCTCACCCCTATAACTTTTTTATTTTTTTCAGAAAAAAAAAACATATTTGTATCTTAGTATATGACATAAATTAGGATTGATAGACGTATTCAGTAGTTTTGGTCACTTCCTGTTTCACTGGAAATTGCTATCTACAAATTTTGATTTTTAAAAGGCACCCTCGGTAGATATCTACTTCATTCGACAGAAAATGACACTCAAAATAGAATGACATATCATAAGTCAACTTTTGACATTTTCGCATATGGTTTATTTGAAGTTGTAACATACGTTAGGACCATAGATAAAAGAAACTAATCTTCTATTAAGATAGATATGAAACTTAATAGTAAAATTTTGGGTCAAAGCGCCCCTCCGTGTTCTTAGTAGAGACTACGTTTAACCCAGCGCCTTCGCCTTTTCTGCTGTAAATATTTTTTATGTTTATATTTGATTTCAGAGGATTTAGTTTTAAAGTTACACTGATATATTAGTATATCAGAGTAACTTTAATAAAACATAAGAATATATACATTTTACAGTTTATTAAATATAAATTTTGACTACAAGGTAGAAAGTAAATCACAATATTTGACAAAACTTATAAGTATACCATTTTTACAGTTAATAAATAATAAAACTATTTCTGACTATGATATTTAAAATTTAGATAGATAGAATATTAAAAAACATACCGGTATTTGCAGACGAAAATCGGGCTTTTTTCACAGAAAAGGTATTTTTAGATGTATCAACAATAATTGTCAAGTTGACAATATACAGGGCTTTTTCTAATTAGTCTAAAAAACTGTGGTGTGATTCCTCATGTCTTCTTAAAACAATTTTTATATAACCATTGGGTCTAAAGTACTTCCTTTCTGATCTACAGGGTGTTAAAAATTAAAAAAAAATCGATATTTTGCTTAACATAAATGGTACACTACTGCTTTTTTAAAGAAAATATATTTTTTCTTGACTGGCCATCCTTTTTCAACAAAATTGATCTTTTGAGTTTTTCTTGTTCATCAAACGGTTGCCGAGAAAAAAATAAATATACTTATTAAGAGCCCGCCTTAAGCCGTTTTCTAACGATTTTTTATTTTTTAGATTAATTAGGAAACACCATATATATGCATATCACAGACAACCAAATAAACTAGTAACCTCTAAAAATGATTTTTCCTACCACTGGCGACGTACCGTGTTTTTAGTGAGTACTAAATTATTTTATCAAAATTTCACCATATAAGTTTCCAGGCAATGGTTAGGACAATATGAATCGAAATACCTACTAAGGTATTAAGGTACCTACTACAATCAATGTATGTGATTGTGTACAAAATTAATACTCTGCCCAAGCAGCATTTGGATGTAGGAACAACGTTGTGTCACGCGACCAAACGTCGGGGCGCAACGTCGGCACAACCTCGTGCCAACCCTAGTCTACACTGGTTTGGAGAATAATTTTTGGGTCGAAACGACGTTGGATACCGACGTTGGCTAGAAGCCTAATTTAGTACAAACTGCAACTTGTTTAAAATCCTAATTCACAGAAATACAAAACTAATATGGCGTCTAAGTCGCGTTTTATCCTAAATTGGGATAATTATAGTAAAAATATTATTTTTATAATTTAGTTAGAGACATATGTCAGATGGCAGTGAAGGAAAACAAAACAAAAGTATTTAAGTGTGGAGGATGTTTGAAGATCATAATTATTGAAACACTTTAACCGACTCTGTAACTCGTTACCCAAGGTAAAAAAGTTAAACGCAAACAACTTTATTGATAAATGTATTGTTTCTACTTTGAAAAATACTAATGGGCCTTAAAATTAAAGAAGTTTTAAAAATTTTCTTGAATTTTTTTTTTATTTTTAGTAAAATGAGAATAATTTATTCGCAGTCGAAAAAATTGCTTCCGCGTGTTTTTTAGGGTCAAATATTTCAAGTTAATGTATTCAAAAAGCAGGAATTGCTATTTTAGGAACGAAACATTTTCTTATTTAACAACATGGCGGCTTTCACTTTGTTGTTTTGGAGATTAAGATGGAGTAGTTCGAGTAGTCGCATACTGGACTAATAAAGTCGCAGTTCGGCCTTAACAGGTAGTATACTAGTCGCAAGATTGCCTAATTTAGTCATCCTAGAGTCTAGCTTGTGCCGCCGTCTATAATCTAAATAAACGAGGGAGTGGATAAACTATCGGTAATATATGTCGATGTATATTTAAATTTAGTTTTATATGTACCTTTCTTATGTCCCATTTTAATTAAGTTTTTGTTTATAAAAACAAACACAGTACTGCCTGACTGAACAGAACAATGAAGTGAAAATTTAAGATTTAAGGTTATGGTTCAATACAGTTGCAAAAAGGTAGTGACTCGACGTCCTACCAACGTAAGAATAAGGAAATCTAAACAACGTTGGAATTAGTAAAACAGACGACGTTTGCATAACGTTGGAATAGGTCCTGAAACTGACGTCGGAAAACTCTATATTGTCCAACGTTGTAACTACGTTGTCCGAATTACCTAAAGATCACTTAAGTAAAAAAGGTTACAAGACAACGTTTATTCGACGCCGCAGAAGCTTCTACTTTGCTGTAGCACTAGTCCAACGTCGGCACAACGTTATAAAAACGTTTAAATTTATTTTAATACCATGGTAGGGAGCTAACTATTTTTTGTAACTAATCCAACGTTGTGTTTAGTAAACATGTGGTCGCAAGTCGTGAAAATGCTACTTGGGTGTTTAGGTATCCGATGATGATACTAATATGGTTCAATTTTCTTTCAGGATGACGAACCACCCGAAATAACATACTGTGTAGTAGAAAATACTGGAACGTTAACACTTCAAGCCATTACCCCCACTCAACCGATGCCATGCCAAGAAGAATTAGATGCCAAATTTGCAGAATTGGTGGTAAGTTTCTTTTAACTAAAGTAATAGGGGAGCTCAAGATGGCTAAAAAGGGGTCCCATTGTATTTGAAAATTTGGAATGTACTCATCCCAAAATCCCCCCCTTGAGCTCCGCTACTAAATATGTAATATGAAATACTAAAAACAGGAGTATGTATCTATACAGTTTTTTAACATTTTAAAACAAATATTTTATTCGGACTAAAACAAGTTTTTATATTTGAACAACTAGAAATAGAAACCAAATATCTATACCTATGTACAGAGATTTTTTTTTAAATTAAAGCAAATTGATATAAGGAAAATGAAATCTGAGAGATATTCTTATATATCCATATAATTTCAAGCTATTCTTGAGCAATAAAATCTACATTATTTTTTCCCACGAATATTGCTCAGAGTAAAATCTATGTAAAAAATAATACTTTCTTTAATCAACGTAGAAAAAACAATAAAGTCGTGTGATTTATGCATTGTATTTCTTGTCATTAAACTATTCGATGATGAATAATGTTTATATGCCAATGTGAAAGTATTAGAAACTGGAACCTTTGTTATTGACTATTATATTTTATAGATTGGTATTTTTCGTTACCCCGTCATCTTCTCCAAACGCGAATGTCTCCAATAAAAAGATAAATTAAAAATAAACTATCTAGAAAATATGCACTTGATGATAAAATGTTTTTTTTTAAATCGTCACTTTGATGAACCATACCACAGAGTCTTCAAAATTCTACACCAAGCTTTCTAAAATAGAAAATAAGTTTATTATAAAAATATTACTTTTTTCTACAAACGTCAAAAAATGACAAGGTTGGCGAATTGATAGCAATGTGCGAAGTGACACTTTTTTTCATTATTATGTTGGATTTATAATTAATTATATTGGATTTTGGAATTTTGATTTTTGGAAGAATAAACAAATAACAAATATCAAACTTAGCACTATAATGCATATTCTAGTTATTATTTACAATATTAACATTAATAGAACAACCATAGTACAAACAAACAAACAAACAAACAACGCTTTATTGTGCAAAAAGCCAAAACAGCTTCATCGACAAAGCACTCACAAACAACAAAATCACAAAAAAATACAAACAACAAAAAATACACAATACAAATAGTACAATTCAAAAAAAATTAAGTCTTTAAAATTACAAAAAGAATATACATGGACAATTTTAGAACAGTACGCAGTAAATAGATATAATTTTAAAGTTATAAAATATTAAATACTTGACCTTTGACCAGTGTGTGAGATGATCAAAATTTTAAAATTCAAAATTGTTCATAATTAAACATCAACAAAAAAGTCGTTTACCGCATATAGGGCTCTCTCAGTAGGTATGATTTTAGAGCTTGCGAAATGCGGGAAAGAATGAAAGCGACTTGATATTCAAAGGCAGATGATTGTACATTTTTTGGCATTGTACAGTATTGAACCTTTAACTAGTTCTGAGCTCGGGGTTGGCAGATAAAGATCGTGCTCTGCATTCCTAAGTGGATAGTTATGAGATGGCCTTTCGGGAATAGCAGATATGTGCTTGTAGATTAAGCAAACGGATTCAAGAATGAATAAAGAAGGAAGAGTCAGTATTTTCAATATTTTAAAGAAATTCTGGCAGTGAGTTCTACTGTTCAGTTCCAATAAATATCGAACTGCTCTCTTTTGAAGTCTGAAAACACGATCAAATTTTGTTGCGCAGCAAGTACCCCAGAATGGAAGGGCATAACGAAGATGTGACTCCAAAAAGGGCATAATAGGCTATTCTAGAGGTTGAGAAGTTAAGTTCCTTAGAAACTGATCTTAGCGCAAAACAGGCAGCGCTTAGTTTCTTTGATAGAGCTTCAACGCGAAAGTCCCATTTTAACGAGTTGTCTACAACAAGTCCTACGAATTTCACAGAGTCCACGACGTCAATAGTGGTATTATTAAGTACAAAATGTTGTATAGTACTTTTATATGAAAAAAGTTTAGTTTTTGATGGGTTGAGGCATAGGAGATTAGAATCGCACCAAGACTTAATGGTGCGTAAGTCACTGGATATAGTATCATATAGTGCCGCAACATCTGGGCCGCTCCAAGTGAAACTAGTATCGTCCGCAAAGAGGCAGATTTTACCGCTAATGTCTAGATTTGCAATGTCGTTGATAAACACCAGAAACAAAATAGGGCCAAGTACTGAACCCTGAGGGACTCCACATTCTATAGGCTTACAAGAAGACATAGACGTATCAATCCTCACAAGCTGCCTTCTTCGAACCAATATTTAATCCCAAACTAGATAGTCCTGATTTTGCTTGAGATATGGGGGTTTTGGGACTTGAGACACTATCCAATTTTGATGTAGAGGTACTTGATCCCAGTATTTGACACTCTAAAATTTTATTAAGGTGCTACGTATTCTCCACGCTCGTATATGGAATGGAAGCTTGGACCCTGACAGATGCTACATCTAAACGCTTGGAAGCCTTTGAAATGTGGTGCTATCGCCGCCGCATGCTCAGGATCTCATACACTTACCATCTCACAAACAACTCCGTGATCCAGAGAATGCAAAAGGAACTAGAAATAGTACATAGTGTGAAAGTGAGAAAAATGGCATACCTTGGGCATGTGATGCGTAATGATAAATACCAACTTATCCAACTGATACTGTAGGGCAAAACAGATAGTAGAAGAGGTCGCCGGGGAACATCATGGCTGAAAAATATTAGACAGTGGACGGGAATGACGACTGTACATTTATTCAGGGCGGCTGTCAATAGGATTATGTGGACCAACATGATTGCCAATATCCATAGAGGATAGGCACTGAAAGAAGAAGAAGAAAATTTTATTTGATATTTGAATTTTATTGTTGATAGAATCCTTGACGTATCCCTCGGTCACTGTCGAAGATTTCCATCCTCCGTGGCGCTTCAAACTAAATATATCACCCCCTGCTTTAGCAAGGAGTGTGGCTGAAGTTCTCCGGAAACAATGCCCAGTGTTTGTAGGCCTCATAATCTGGCAGCTTCAAGTGTTTTGCTATCATGCTAGGCATCTTACCAATAGAATTTATGCCGACCACTTGGTTATCCCATCTCTTATTTTGATATTTTAAAAACAATCTGCGACTGGTAGCATCATTTCTTGGACGAAGAGCTGCGTATTTTCCGTTAATCTCAATATAATGCAAATTTGACACTGTAAAGACTCGGTCTATGTTTGTTTTTGTATCCTACTTTAACAATCAAAATTGAATCTTTATCTTCTATGTTATCAACCGTCATTTTAGTAAGTTCCTCACGGCGGCAAGCACCAGAAATACCAAGTATTAAAACGACCTAATTAAAACGCCCTAAAAGGAAATCGATGACGATGTTCAGTAATAAAAAAACATAAATTCTAAGCTCACACTTTTTTTTTCGAAGCAATAATATAATAATAATAATTTTTAAGGATATCCAGATTTTAATGTGGTTTGCAACTCGTGCGCGACCTACTGACTAATTTTTCATTCAAGGATCGATCACCAAAGTAGCACTTCGCGTACTAGATACAAAAATAACTATTTTATTAGATGGGGACTTAAAAAGTGAACATTTTTTGTATTTAAAGTATTTCAAAAATTTTAATGGTTTTGCTGATACACGCTGTTATTTCATACGATGTACTTAAACAGCCGTTAAACGGTAGCCTACTAAAATGCCGTTAATAGATATTGTGACGTCGTTCATGTCGGCGGAAAGTAATGCCTAACTTTAAGCATTTTGCAAGAGCACCTGTGGGTCAGTGGCTGAGGCTATCGCTTCGTAAGCGAATGGTCCGTGGTTCAAATCTCACGCCGACCAAGACTTTTTTATATTTTTTTTGCTTATAGCGTGCCCAAGTAGCAAAAAGAAATTCTAAAAGGATTGAATTATTTCAAAAAAAACAGTCGAATAGCGTTGTCTTAAGGACTGCTTGATTTTATTAAGCGTTTGGTTTCGACCATTCTGTTTTTAATGAAAGTTGTCATATTAAACTATTTTCTAGTGGTTTTTACAACGTATCCTATAACGCATTAAACGATAATTTCTTTTAGTATGATATAACTCTTAATAAGACAATGCTATATGATAACAAACATATTATTTTATTAGACTCTTATACCCACCATGTAAGAGTTCTATAATATTCATATAACTAGTAGTCACAAGATCATATAATAGTTACTTAAACTTGTCTTATTAAAGTTGTATTACGTTGTATGATATTAATACGTTGTATTACGTTGTATGAGAACGTTTTATTGCGTTAAACTACGGTGCTGTATACAACACAGTTATATAGCCTTATATGATAAGATTGTGATTAACAAAATAAATTCGCTGTAATATCTGCATTATAAAACTGGTAATGTATAATATAACCTCATTTTAATTTAAATGGTATACCTAGTTATTTATTTTGTTATTGTTGTTGTTGCAAAAGTAATATCTACGCATGAGTATAATCAATCACAGCTATTATGAATTCTGGACAAAGTTGGAAAAAACTTAACAAACGCAGTGGTAGTTATAAAGAGCATGTAAGAAAAAACTCCTCGAAATTATGGTAAATAATCCCGAGAATTCCCTAGGTTCTCAAAAGCCAAAATCTCTCGGGTTGTCTGGCTTCTTCAAAGCATTGTTGCCACGTTGGTGTAAAAGTTTTACTGTAGTAATGTTTGTATTGTTTTATTGTTGTTTTTCCAAGTCCTTAGGTTGCCGCTCACTCGTCGGGCACGCATGAAATGCATTGCGTGCATGAATCCATAAAAATCTGATCATGTTTGTTAGTTTAAATACTAATCAAATGAGATTTGGCAACATCTATTTGTCACAAATCTCAATATGTCCAAAATAGTTCTACAGTGCCTGGAAATTCTGCGTAATGATAGATATATCCTATACCGTTTTATTTTACAACAAAGACTTATTTAAGGGATTCATTTATAATAAAATGGTTGCATTATAATTCGCCATG